ATATTTAAATGAAATTGAACAGTTTATAAGATGCTCAATTAATTTGCCATCTAACAAATATTTATTTAAAATTTATTGATTAATTATATTACATAATAATCTTTTCTTATTATAATTAAAAAAATTAAATAAACAAAAACACGAAAGAGTTCATTTGAAAAAAACACGAACTTGAACTTGATCAAGTTCCTTTCTTAAGGACTGAATGTGAATATGAATAAATTCATATTTTTAGTGAATGTTCCAAACACTGCCTTTAAGTATAAAGTAGGTGTTGAAAATTAACAAACTAGTTCATAATTTAATTACCGACAATTTTATTTTTGTTTGTTTGCAATAAATTAAATTAACTCTTGTTTGACAAAACTGTTGACTCTTAAAAGGTATAATTGTACCATCATTAAATTAAAAATATGATTTGCATTTTTGTTATTTTTCTCTAATATTTACAATTTAAAAATTTATTTTTAAAATATGTAAGATTAAAATAACTAAAACAAACTGAATATAGATATTATTCTCATTTTCAAATGTATGAAATATAAATACAATTTACTTTAACAAATCGATTAAGCTTAAAATTTTCCTTAATTGGTATTGTAAAAAGTAAATTTATTATTTGCTTGTATAATTTACAGATGCGTTGATTTTATAATATGCAGTTCATTATAAGATCAATGACAGAGATAATTAATATATTTATGCCGGGTTGCATGAACAATTTATTAATTTAACGGTCCAATAAAATTTAATAGAACAATCATGGGCCACTAAATCAGTTTAAAGGACTATTAGCTCGCTATTGATTCCTTAAATGTATAGTGATTGTTTGTGCAATCCGGCAGTAGGGTTTGTATTCTCTTTTGACTTGTACTGTATGTGTTTTTAGATAATACAAAATTTAAACAAACCTACTAACAAGATGGATAAGACCAACATTAAACAACAATTGAAACTTGCTAAAGAAGAATTTATGAGAAAAAACTTTTCTGATGCAGCAAAACTGTGTAAAACAATTTTAAAGAATGATCCAAAAAATATTTCGGGTTTGATTCTTTATGGAGCCAGTCTTCTTGAAATGCCATCAAAAAAAGATGAATCTATTGAACAGTTCCAAAAAGTCATTGAATTTTCTCCTAATAATTTATTTGCTTGGCAAGGCATTGAGCAATACTACGAAAAATGTGATAAGCTTACAGTTTGTCAGCAGTTATTCTACACTTATGCTAATTTATTGAGTTTAGAAACTGATGGGACCAAGTGTAAAACACGTGCAAAAAAATGTATTGAGCTTTGGAAAAATTATAAAACAAAGCTGGATTTAGGAATTTTTGTACCAATAGTCTTACCAACAATTGAAAACGAAGAAATAACACCACAATTCTTAGCTATATGTAGAGTTTTAGCAGAGTTTCCATTCACAGAAGACACTTCTCCCTTAGATGAACATCTAGAAAAAATGTATCTAGCATTGTGTGAAGATGATAGTTTTGATCAAAGATTTGAAATTTATTGCAAACTTATTCCTGTATTAAAATCCAAAGGGAAAAGGCAACAACTTGTAGATGTATGTGAAAAAATGTTATCTATTTATAATGACAATGCTATTGTTATAAATTTTTTCTGTGAATCATTTATCAGCAATTATATTAAGACCATAACTGAACCTGAAGATAACATACTAAAATTAATTGACAAAATGAGTTCATCAATTATGGAAAGATGTGAAGTATTACTCCTGGCACAACCAACAAATCCAAATTCAATAATAGCCAAAAGCATTGCTTTGAGAAGATTAAATGAATTTGAAGAAAGTCGTAAATTGTTACGTAAAGTTGTTCAAGTTACCAGTCGTTCATGGCAATCGTGGTTTTTACTAACAGAAATTCAAATCAATATTCATTGTTATGATGATGTAATACGATGTGTTCAACAAGCTAAGAAAATTTTAAAACCAACATTTTCCTGTTATCAGACTATGCTTATGTGGGAAATTGAAGCTTATTGTTGTTCCCGACAGTGCTGTACTGTACAAGGACGGCAGTTAGCCATTGATATGTTTAGTGAGAATTCAAATAATAAACTAATTGGGTATATTATCATAGCTAGTTGTAATTTGAATGATCAAAAAACCGCAAAAAACTATTTAAATACATTACAAAATAAATGTGATAGAGATGATCGCTTTATCTTTTTAGAAGCATTATATTTTAGTGAATTTGGTCAACTTGATGAAGCTTTACATTCTTTAAAAAGCATTAATAATTTATCAGCTGATGTAGATGCATTGCTACTATTTGGTAATATTTTGTGGAAACAACGAAAATTTGCTGAGGCTGGAAAGTTTTACTTGGAAGCTTCTCGGATTTCTCCTTATAGATGTGATTTAATTACTAAGTTAGGACATTATTACAGAGAAATAAAACATTTATCTGTTGCCATGACTTGCTATGAAAAATCTGTTGTTCTTAATCCTGATGACGAAGAAAACGCTCTTGCTTTATCAGATATATACCATACTTTATCAAAGTCAAAAGAACAAGAAGCGTTGTTGAATTACCTGAAAACATCAAAAAATGTCAAGTGGGCTTCTTTAAGGTTAGGTGTTTACTATTTAAAATTAAACAATTATGAAGATGCTGTTGATAACTTTCAAATTGCTACCAAACATGATCCAAATAATGCAAACTATTATGAATGTCTAGGTGATGCTCTCTTAGGACGAGAATCATTGATGGGTGCAAAACTTACATATTCTAAATGTATAGAAATTGATCCCTCTCTTTTATATCCAAAACTACAAATAGCTAAAATCGAATATCGCATTGGTCAAATGGATTCTAGTATTCAATTATTTTACAAAATTGTGAACTCTTATTCTAATGATTTTATTGCATTATTTGAAACAGCAAAAATGTTTATAGAACATGCCAAGGCAATTTTTGTTCATCAGGTACATGCAAGTTATGATTTATGCAAAAAAGCTTGTGAATACTTGTACAAGGCATTGTTGATAGATAATCGATATGCACTGCTTTGGAAATTGTTTGGAGATTTATGTCTGTTAATGGCAGCAATGCCCAAAGAACTATCTTTTATATATTTACCATCTAATATATTTAACAAAAGCCAAGAAAATTATGAAGTGAAAGGCTTACAACTCTATACTTATTCTAGGAGATGTTATTCACAAGCATTAAATATAACATCTAAAAAATTGTCGTTAAATCCTGCACAAAAATATATCTGGTATGATTTAGCCAAATGTTATTTGACAAATGCATTAAATAAAGATATTGATAAAAATGAACGAATAGAATTTAAATCTAAAGCAGAACTGGCTATTAAAAAATGCTTATCATTTGATCCAAAAAACAAAGATTTTTGGAACACAATGGGAATCATTGAGGCTATTGAAGAGATTAAAAATGAACACCTAAGTTATAACTGTTTTGTTAAATCTTTGGAAATTGAAATAAATGCAATTGCTTATAATAACTTGGCTATCAAATGTATGATTCACAATGATGTAAATCTTGCTGAGGAAGCTTTTAATTTGAGTCAACATATTGAACCAACCCTTATAAATAGTTGGGTTGGGCAAGGTTTACTGACTAGATATGAAAATCCTGTAATGTCATCCGACTTGTTTTATCATTCAACCACATTAGGATTTCACGAAGAGAGCATTTGCAATTATACTGAAGCAAACATACAACATATTGAAGCTGATGCAGAAGTATTAACACCGACTCATCAAATTCATCATAATATTGATTTACTTATTTGGCTTACATCTCAAAATCCCGAAAATAGTTGGGCACAGAATGCATTGTCAATATTGTTCAGATACTCTGGTTTGTATAAAAATGCTATTAAAGCTGCAGAAAAGGCTGAACAATATTGTACACCTGAAACACAAATAGGCATGCAAAGGAACACTGCTCTTAGTCTTCTTAAAGGGAAATGTTATCATGAAGCCATAGTCAAATACCAACAAATGAACTCAATGAATTTATATGATAAGTTTGGAATTGCATTAGCATTTTATAAGACTGGTCAGTATCAAGAAGCATATGCTACTTATGAATTGTTGACTGAAAATAAATCTGACATGAGTATTGTGTCAATGGCTTTCCTTGCTATGGCTGCAATAGCTTTTAGTAATCACGAAGACTACGATAAAGCCACAACATTATTCTTGAAGAGTATACAAAGTAATACTGCTAACATACAGGCACTATTAGCTACATTTGCACTCGGAATTGTAACTCGTAAAAGTAGTCTGTCTAGAACTATCTTGCAAGAATTGATATCGCATAAGAGTGATCCTTTGTTCTTTAAAGATATTATTCGATTCGAAACATATTTCTACTACTTGAACCGTCAACCAAATATATCGTTGAAATTAATCAGCCGTTGTGTTCACATTCACCCTGATAACGCTCATCTATGGGTAAACTTGGGTTTCATATTATTGAATTACTATATGGCCAATGAGTCCCAGCGCAAAAAAGGACTATGTTCTCATATTTTTACATGTGCTACAGTTATCAGCAACAAAACGTGGGAACTAAAAAATGCATTAGTTCTTACTACCATATGCAATCTGTTTGAAGGAGAATTGAAAATGTGCCTCCGAAATGTTTTGAAGGGGATTCATTTATACCCTACGTCATCTGAACTTTGGACAGTTTTGTTGAATACCATATACTGCCGGGGTGACATTGAAGATGCAGGGTTCATAAAAAGTCATATACAATTTGTTGTAAATAATTTGAATCCTAATGAAATTTTGAAATGTAATCTTTTAAAACTAGAAACCCATATCCCATGATATTGATACCTATTATGTGTAAATTATTTGGTTTATTATTAATTCATTCTTGCCTATGTTTGCAGTGTTTATAATCATTTAAAAAAATATCAAGTTAATAATTTGTATATATAAATATTCCTATATACACTATTGTAAAAAAATATAAGAATGTATCCTAATTATTTTTGATAAAATTGACTTTTATTATTTTTCTCAAATATTTAAAACATTGTAATGTCTTAATATTTAATATCTGTCCTGACTATTCCTATAGATAGGATTTTGTTAAGTAAAATTATCCACTTGAATAAAATTACAGTGCTCAATCTGAATTTCAATTTGACCATTCAAACTTTGCAAGTTTTAACAAAGTTATTCGGTTAATCTGAGTTGTACATATAACAATTTTACAATGACAAAGAAATTTAATTTAAAATTCTTATTATTTTCCTATATATTTGATGTATCTCATTTTTTAACTAGTTAAGCGAACTGTCCTTCTTTGTTTTATTGATTTTAGTTGGATAATTTATAATAATATTAATAATAATAATGTTATTCTCTTAACCTAGTCACAAACCTTTCTGATAAATTAATTTAATTTTAGACTAGAAAATATAAACATATTAAGACAATAGGATTGTACTCACTATATTATAGAAAATAGCAATCAATAAACCATTTTGTTTCACTAGTCGTAGCATTATCTAACGAGTATAATTTAAAATTGATTTAAAAATTGTTAGGATGTTAGGTTAGCACTATAATCCGAAAACCAGAATATAGCTTTTTAAGTTATAGCATTTTAAGTACTTAGTACAATTTTAGTATTTCAAAGTTAGTTCTTTTAATAATTGTGTTATGTTTTTGTATATATACCTATTATATGGTATTTTATAATTGACTATAGGTACATAAGTACATGATGTTATAATTAAAATGTAAAAACGTGTATGTTTTCTTCCTGTTTCAGACAATACTGTGTTTATATACGTTAGATCGCTGATAATATATAATATGCCTAACACATAATTCAGAGAGTAGTCTAGCGAAAGCGATTCGTTAAAATTTAGACTATTTATGGAAACCTGGGGTAATTGGACATTTAGTACGGAAAACGAAGATTTATTGGCTGGAGTGTTAAACAAATTCGCTTCGGATCAATGCAGCTTAGATACACCGAAAAAAGTTCTTTTGTCGTCTTTGGCTGCTTCATCGAAAGTATGTACCTACCTATATCTCAATAAATTAATATGTATAGATAAACCTAAACTAAATCGCCAACGAAGCGCTTTTCAATTTTCTGATGGCATTTACGAAAATTATTTCATATTTTATTTATATATGTATGTAGACTGTACGTGTTGAAACCTCCAGTTCGAGCAGCGATGACAGCGATATTGACGGAGACTTTAACGCCGTTCAGGCGTGTTTTCCAAAATCCTGCTCAGACGTGTCATCGAATGTGGAATCTAAGCCTACAGCGTCTGTCGTCGACGACTTGCAGCTACAGCCTGCCTGCACCGGCGCTACATTGGGTAATTTTAACGACGAATCTTCCTTCCTGCCGAGTCAACCGCAGGGTAAGTATTTATATAACTGTCAATGATATAACTATAATATGTTTACTTGTGTATACCTATTGAATATAATTTCAACACACTTTCAATATATATATTATATCTCCGCGTACCTATTTATCCGTGAGATGTTTAGTTTACTAACTCGACGGTATAACCTGCACTAGTCAGTGTAGTCACAACAACCGTGTTTCTAAACCTTGATGTACATACATTCCGCTTTATGGTGTCTGTAATGACAATATAATAGATTTCTGAAGTTCCATTTTCGAGGTACCTAAGAAATTATATGTTATAGGTAAATTTAGTCCACCTCGCCCCACGGTTGGGTGATACCATACGAAAAAAAAGATAGTAATTGAGAAACATATTGTAGAAAGTATGTATACCTATATAACTACGGTTAATAAACTGACGGCGGTCTCACAGTATAGGTAGAAAGGTTGTATAACTTAAATATTGAAGGAAATATAATCGCGGTGCTTGGACTGGTTGACACTTGTCTTGTAGCGATATGCTTATACATCTAATTTTATCGGTTCTACATTTTATTTCTATTGGCCCTGATTAATTGTTGTAATTATTATATTTTTTATTGTTATTGGTTTATACTTAATTTTTTATTAATATTATTATAGTATTAACTGTGCTATATATTCAAGAACCCATATTATAACTGTTGGATAATAATTAAGGAAATTATGTATTTGTTTTTGCAGTGGAAGACCCACACGAAAACGCAATAAAACAAATCGTCGAAATGTTAAACGCTGGAGACTACGACACCAAAGAATTGTTTTCCGCGTTGCAGACTGAGCGAAGCAACCGGAAAGACGTGTCGGAGATAATCGGGGACGTGTGGCCGGAAATTGTCACTGACAAAGCTCGCCACGGTTTTTGCGAAGCACTTGTCCAAACCGACGTAAGGCCGCAAATAATTTGTGAAGAGATCTATTTACCCTGGGTGTGTACTTTTTAAAACACAATTTTGTAGTGATGCCTTTTTATCAGTATATTATATTAATTATACATATTGGTCATTGGTGTACCTATTATTATATGTATTATTATTATTATTATTATTTGTGTACAAATATACAATATACATATATGTAGAAAGTTGTAAAATTACAACGACAACTGCAGCGTCACCGCAGTTTCGGAAGTATCTATAGCGAAGTTATTATTTTTCAGTTCAAAACACGTGAGTCGAATTTGACTGGGTTCGTTGACAGTCTGTCCAAACTGATTGTCCACTTTCCAGAATACGCTTGCAAGTCATTCCTCGTCAAACTGCTGATAGACAGAGAATCGATTCTAGTTAAACACTTGAATTGGCTCGTGGACATCATGAAATCTCTCGACCAACAACATTGGTGTATTCTTTTAAAGTAAATCGATTCAAAAAATGGCTATCTATAGCAGTAGTTCTCAACCTTTTTTTATTCATGTCACCTTTAGCCACTAACATCAAACACTGCGTCACCCTAACATCAAAATAATAAACAATCTTAGCTGTATATTTTGAAATTATTCTTTTATTAAAAAAAAACCGACCAAAAGATTAAAATATAAATAATACAAACTATTATAAAGATACGAACTTTGAGGTATGTTATGTACATGACAGTGGCGGTATAGGTATATAATATATTTATTATAAGAAATAATATGATTGTTCTCGAAAAAATTAATTTTTTTAATTTTTTTTTCTGCGTCACCCCCGAGCTAGGTCCATGTCACTCTAAGGTGACATGTCACCCCGATTGAGAACTACTGATCTATAGGTTTTATTATGATAAGTATTATACGATTGGTACTGTTATTGATTTTTGCAGCGAATACATAAATAACTGCGATGGTCTGGATCAGTATCAAATACCAGTTTTGTTGCACTTGGTGAACAATTGCCAAAAAAGACTAAACAACGATGACGCCGAACGTCTGGTGGAGTTGTGCAGAAACTCGGCCCATGAATATTCTACTAACAGAGACTTTGGGTTGTTGTTAATGTCCGTGATTGGAGCAATCGACTTGGACAAATTTCGATCGGAAATGACGACAGTATGCGGACAACTGAAAGGCGTTTCGAAGTTTATGATCATGAAAGCTCTAAAGGATTCTAAATAAATCAGTATACCTATATTGTTTATTACCTTATAAATTGTTAAATTAAAATGTTTTTATAATATTATTAAATAATTATTTATGTGATACATTTTTTTTGCGATTATATCCAAAAGTATAGCCCTATATGTGCATGTATAATTTAGGTCACAGCACTAAGTATAACATTAGTATACCTGGGAATTTTTTGTTTATGGCTATTGAATATATTATATTATTATCTAAGCTCGGGCGACAAACGATCAGTCTCACCTACATGTATATATTATGTTAACGCGTGTTTACTGAATTTGACAGTAATTTTTGGGTAAGCACCCAAAAATAAAATGAAAATAGCGGAGGAGCTCCGTCTCCTTGTGAACCTCCCAATTCGAGCATTAGATAGGATTTTAAAAAAACAATCACGGCTTTGCTAGATATTGCTCTACAATGCATTAATACTATATTATCTTTTGTAATTATATTGGTAAATATCATTTATAATAGTTTTTTATATTAGTTTGTTTACTAAATTGTTACACTTTAACATTTTAGAATGTAATTAATTGGTCGTCAGTCGTAACTCTGTTCTGGTCTTGCAGTTGCAAAGAATCAAGTATACATGAATCCATATTGGAAAAAGTTTCTGAACTTTATCCAGATCCATGGAAAGTTTTTATTGGATAATCATTCTATTATGATTCACGTAAGTAAAATAAACATTATTTAACTATTTATTTAGAATAGTAAATGCCTTATTGGGAATACAGAGTACAGTTAAATTAATATAAAAACTAATATTTGATAAAGAATTTTGGCTGAGGAATGAGGACAAAAAGAATAACAACATTTAAAAACAATAACGAGTTACAAATTTCGATATGGTTTCCAAGCGGAAAATTTTTTTTGCTTCTATAAATTATAAATATTGTTTAATCAATATATCATAGAATGAAAAAAAAGTCTAAATAATTTTTTATGAACCATTTTCTAGGCATATGGTATAATGTTCAACACTTGTGGGCTCTTCTGTGCTATTTGCACTGCTTATAAACATAAAAAATACATACCTATATGCACAATATTTTTTTGTATGAGCACTTGAATCCAAAATTTTTTGAAATTTGATATTTAAATAAAAAATAACAACTTTAATTATTTTGTTGTTTTTCAAAAAATATTATTCGTGGTGACCTCAAACTTTTTGCCATTAGGTACTTGAGCATAATATCTTTACACAATCATTCAATGACGAGTTAACCCGGCACATTTCATAGGTATTTACAGAAAAATGAGTTCTCTGTTTTTTTTTCTTATATTGTATTAACTATTAATAATAAATAATGTAAATATAAAAATATATACATAAGTAATATTTATATTTACATTATAAATTTTAACACTTTATTTCCCCAAAACTAAAACCCCTACGAAAACATGTTTATTCAGAATAATTACTAATACTAATTACTCACTCACGAAAAATGAACTAATTATCAGTATTGACTATTGGCTATTGCTTATATTAATAAATGGACACCTTACACACAATGTATAGGCCATTTTCCATACACTAACGGTGCGCAAATATTGCAACCGTTGGTGCAAAATATACGTATATAATCCGACTTCGATGAATCTGCATCATAGTATAGTTTCTGTATTTCAACTCCTGGTGCAACGAAACTAGGAAACCAAGCTGATGACTGACGTGCAACACATTTCGCCATTTCGGTTTGACTAATGAGTCACGAATTAAGACAAACTTGATAGGAATTTGCACTCAGTATTAAAGATTCGTGGTATATGCATGAATATTCCATTTATGTTCTATCATAGATTAAATATACTTAAGTATACTTAAGTATATTTAATTTATGGTTCTATGCTCAATAATACTATCATCATGACGTGACATGTGACAATTATTGACAAACAATACTCATATAGTTATAACTTATAAGTTATAACACAATATTGTTTCATTGTTTAGGTCGGTCGTAAACTTGCGCAATGCGTACTGCGCACTTGACAGATATCTATAGAAGTGAGTGTCGAATACAAACTGTAGACTCCGGTAGTCGGTGTGCGCAGTTACCACGTTGCGCTTCAGTGCTTGTCGCCGGCGATTTGTATTACGCCGGTTATTGGTGTCGTCGAACTTTTTTTCGTCTAGCCAGATCGAATCTTTTTAATTACGTGACAACTATTGCTCCACACCTTGTGGTTCTCAGTATTACCTATCCATAGATATAATATAATATACTGATAAACGTAAGTATCATAAATTATAATTTATAGGATTCAGTCGTTTTGGTTGGAGTTTTGCGAATCGACACTTAAGCTGGTAAATATATAATTATATTGGTTGCGTCTATACCACGATATTTTATAGTTTTGTAAATTTAGGTGAGCTACATTTTTTTCATGTCTGATTCTAGGACATGATCTCTGAAAATTCGGCGAGCAGTAGTAAAATCGTGGAGATCGACTGGAAAAATGTCTCCCAGATATTTGGTAATTTAGTACACTGCAGATAGTCACGTCCGGGATTAAGTCTGAGAGGCAGTATAAGCACATACTTTTAAATAGGCCTGTTGTACAGCAACATTCAACTTTTATAGATGTATTAGCAATAAAGTCTCATCTTGGAAATAATTTTAGATTTTTTCTTCATTTAATATTTTGTCTACAACAACTAATACATTACCTAAAATAATTTTTTGTGATGAGATATACATATGAACAACCTCAAGTATTAATTAAACTTTAAATAGCTTACAAGTTCCATTAAAAATAAAGCACATATTAAAAAAAATATTGATGTTAAAAATATTAAGATTGTAAAATTCATTATACCATCGACAACCTAATCCACATTTTAATAAAAAATTATTAGTCTGTGCCTTCTTCCAGTCCCGCCAAAATAAATAGTTGATGTACTCAAAATAAAATAAAAATAGTAGAGAGCTCAGTTTCCTCGTGCCCTCTCCCAAACACTCACCCTATTTCGAACCATGAATAGTGGATTTAATAAAAAAATTAATTACCACTTAGCCTATAATATTTCTCTGTATAATGTATTATCATTTTTAGGTATACTAAATTGTTATATTTTTAAATTTTAGAATATAATGAATTGGTTGTAATTATTTTCGAGGCGAATTACAATAGAGAACCATGTAAACATGAATATATACTAGAGCAAGTTGCTATAAAAGTTTCTGAACTCTATCCAGATCCTGGAAAAGTTATTATTGGAAAATCATACTATTATGAGGATTGTGAGTAGAATACAGATTATTTAACTATTTATTTAGGATAGTCAGTGCCTTATTGGGATTTGGGAATAGAGTACAGTTGTAAATTAAATAAATTTAACAATTAAAATTTGATAAAGGATTTAGTCACCGAGGAATTGAATTTGTTTTCCAAGCAGAAAAAAACAAATCAAAAAACTGATTGGCGCTATTATAAACTAAATGCTTATGTATATTGTATATAAATATTATTTAATTAATAATTCATAGGAAAGTGAATATGGAATGGATATTTTATGTTTGTTTCCTAATTCTGTTGACTGGCGTGAAAATAAAATAATTGAGCTTACATATACTTTAATAGCTACCTATAGGTACCTACTAATATTCTTATTTATTGATGAACGGCGTGAAGTTAAAAATGAGATATACACAATACATGTTTGATAATGTATTTTTTTATAGCACAGTTGACTTACAAAAATATAAGGTAATGTAAAATAATAATTTTTATTAATATTTAATAAAAAATAGGTATGGACTTAAAAGTATTTGTTATTATTTTTAAATAACTATAAAAATAATTTATGAAGTTGTAGTTATGTTAACAAATAACAATCATCATTTTATAGGGCTTGAATATTACTCACAAGAGAGCAAACCCGATTATGAATACTATCATACTGTAAGATTATTCATAAATGGAAAGCTAGCTAGAAAACTTTTTTCCAGTGACATAATAGTTTCAAACATAGTATCTTACATTCAAAATCTACTAGATAATTCTCTCCAAGTAATATCTAGTATATGCCTTCCTAATAATCCTACAAAAGTAAGTTAATACGTTTTTCTTAAATGTTCTTATTCATTACGTTCACTACTTTGTGTTATTTTTTACTTTGTATATCTATCGATCAAGGCCTACGAAAAAGTTATAATTGGATACTTTAAAAATAAAAACTCACCTGACTATCAATTTTTTAAGAAATTATCAATGATTCTTATGGGTGATTGTCAGTTTTATGCTGGATTTGGGTAAATTACTGTTTTTAGTGTTTCATAGTTAATAACTAATAACTATATTAATAGGTATGTATACATTTTTGTTAACAGAGAAGAATATTGTTCTAAGTATCCCGATAGTGATCATAACAAATCATTAATTATATTCAAAATCTCTAACCAACCATCTCCAGAATTTGAACAAGAAATATTTCGTGGCGATTCATTAGATTTCGAACAATTTTATGATTGGGTAAACAAAAATGTGTTATATTCAACGAGTGAAATTACATTTGATAACGCCGAAGAGATACAAAAAGATCGTCAAATTTATCTTATTCTGTTTTATAATCCCGACGATCTCAAACCAGTTAAAAGGTTCAAGGATAAAATTAAAACGGATTTAAAAGAATATTGCAGTAATTATTGTTCTATACTGATGGAATTTTTATATTGACGACTTTAGTTACCGACGTTACCGTACCAATTCGTTTTATTAATATTTCAGAACGAATTAATTTTCTGACAGCAAATGGTTCAACATTTTCTAAAAAGTTGCAAGAAATTGAAAAATGTCAAACTGATTTACCATTTCTACTCTTGGTTCAGCGTGGTGTTATCTATCAGTTTCCAGAAAATTATGATGTCAACATAATGTTGTCGTATCAGCAACTTAAAACATTAATCGATAGTTTTTTTTCAAATAAAAGTTATTACAATTACAGGCATTATTATGAGAAAGAACGCGATAAAAGTGACTTTATACTCCCTGTATATCGATTTAATTTATTCTGTGAATTTTCCAACAAGCCAGTGAAAATTCATAGACAACATATTCCAGACAGTGCTGATGACAATTTTTGTGTTAGTCTATTTGATGAGTAAAATGTATCAGTATGTAAGATATCTATAATTTAATTTTAACAGAATATGAAAATTTAATAACGAAGCCCCAGACATATATCCAAAACAAAATCATATACCTAATATACTAACTAATACATAAATGTAAAAAAAAACTCTCATCAATTGTTTATTATTATTAAATTATAATTTGAATGATTACATATTTTTTTTATTATAATCACTAAATATTAATCAATATATTATAGATTGCTAAAATGTCAATTGAAATTCGTTACACATTAGCTGCTTTTGCGTTTTCTGTACCTATTCAATATTATATCAAAAGTATACAAGATTATTATAATTGAGTAATAAACTAATAAATATAAGTACCTACGTAGGTTTATCGAACATGTATGCTCTGAGTGGCTTGGTGATGTGCGATCGTACGCTCAGTCTGCGACAACGATCTGAGCGTACGTACCGGCCGTTTACGCTAGCACTCGGATGGGTAACCATCCGTGTTTTTATCAACATTTACAAACGTGTTCCAACACCCTCCCCCTCCAGATTCACCGCCTGACTTTTTAGATAATGAAAACGACTGGAAAACTGCAGTTCATAATCAATCGAAGACACGCTTAAGATCTCACAATAATATCACATATCTGCCTGCAAAAAGAATCTAACATTTCTATTTCCTCAATCGATTTTCACCAATAGCTCCTCCCGACGAGGTAGCTCCAACAATCACCTAACACCGGAAGTCACTCAATTGGAAACCACAAAACCTTCACCAATTAAATATAAAAATTTAATAAAATTTAATTATAAAATTCCCACAAAATTACACATTCCCCTAAAATCAATGAAATAACTCAAAACATAGGTTTTGAATGTAAAAGTTCCACCAATGTGTGAAGACGATAGTTTTGATCAAAGATATGAAATTAATTGCAAAATTATTCCCGTATTAATATTTAAAAGAGAGATGTTCCGAGTAGATATAATATTTTGTTATAAACTGGGTACGAGGATTGGCCTAATAGAAATGTAAATACAAGGTGTTTATCAAACTAGTATAACTATTAATAGGCACTATCAAAGTATCTAGTAAAAAATACTAAATAAGTTGGTGGTAACATTGATTGTAAATTATAAATACATCAGTGTTTATTATCACCTATGTATTCAACCATTCAGCTTTTAACTTATTATAGTAATTAGTGTTACGTATCGTATCTAAGTGGATTTACCTAACCACTACGCAAGTACAAGTGATCTCATAATGTATAAACTATAAATCATACGTAATTGATGAACAATTTTCAGCGACCTATTCAGGTAGATACATTTTTAAGTGATTGATGGTCTATGTATAATAAAATATTCATACATGGAATGATATCATTAAGTTATTTTTGTAACTTAAGCACATATCAGTCCAGGAATTTGCATCTTAGGTTCAAAACTGATTTAACGATCCGATATAGGAGAAATATCTATAAAAAAAAATAGTATCTACCTGCAGCAGTATTTACGACAATCCTAAAGATGGAAGTTGAACTATTACAATAATCTACGAAAATGTGCATACTTAATACTTATTAGTAATTAGGTACACCTATAGATAAATCTAAAACATTTTGATATTGTAGGTATATAGGAACACGAGAAAGTTATAGCTGGATATTTTAAAAATAAAAATAAACCAGATTATTGAATATTTAGAAAAATATTGCTAAATACATCATTCAATTTTAAAAATCTTTTGTACTCTGAGCTATTTATAACCTTAAGAAAATTTCGATTTTTATTAATATTTCAATTCACTCGGTCAATAAATTTAAAAAATGAGTACATGGTTCCTCATATCATGTTGTCGTTAGTGGAAATTAAAAAAAGTTGAGAGTAAGTCCACAATAGTTTTTGTAAGAGTCTAAAGTAAGAGCTTTGTCAAAATCCGTCATAATCAAGGAAAATTGCAATTCATTTAAAGTTAGAAATTCATTCGTACCTATAACATTTGCTATTAAAATATAAGATTTAAAAATGTAAAACCAGGTTCCTCAAACACCTTCTACTTAACAAAAAAAAAGGTTAACGGAAAGTCAAATTAACTTTTTATGAGCGTCTAAAGTTCAAATTTTTATGATATTGAATATTCAATTGCAGATTTCTATTTTCTCGAAGAACGATTTTCTTATTTTGTTTTAAATTTAAATTTAAGTTTGGAAATTATTTATTATTATTTATTTGCAAATAAAACAATGTATGATAAAAAGTAAACGGTAGTTAAAAATCTATAAATTATTATAATATAATTTTTATAATTAAGAATGTAAAATTTAAAACAAAATTTCTCATAAGTATTTCATATACTTTTTTTTTTCTTGTTATCGACGACGCTGCCGGGACTGCTTGCGCATTACTCCGACAAAGTATTTCATATACTGACATACTGTAACCGATAAATCTAAAAATTAGATATAGGTACACAGCGTTTTCCTCTGTTTTTTTTTATATTATTTTTTTGCAGTTGTTATCCGA